TATTATAGTCTTAGTGATTACAGACAGTGTGTCTATATCTTGGAGGAACAAAAAGACCAACGTACGAGCACAACATCGAAACAGGGTTGACTTAGTGCAAATACTGGACGCAGTAGGTGTCCTGAAATCCAAGCCGATAAGTTCTATTTGCTGCTCAATGGATTCCGGTTCGCTACGAAGTACACATAAGGACGTCAAGTAAAGTCATAACCAGTTGATTCCTGCTGAGTTACGAAAGCATTTGGAAACAGAGAGTTGAAGATTAAAAGTCCTCAGATCGATGGGGCAGGTTTCACATCCGTAAAGTAAGATTTCTGTTTTACGTGTTTTGTATCCATGACCTTTCAGCTTTAGAAAAATGTGTCTTTGAAGCAATAAATAACGCACATTTTCATCTTTTGTCCCAGCGTTGATAAAACGTCTATCAACTTCACCTGGCCATCAAAGCTGCCAGGATGAGCAGACTGAACAGAATTCTCTAGTCGATCACTCGGGGATTTCAACGGGGCATGAGAATAATGGAAGCAATGGACGGTACAATTCCCAACTGAGATTTTGTCCTAACGTTGGGGTTAACCTATACAAAAAAAACCCGAGAAGCGGTGAACAGCTGTTGCATCCTTACGGGAGTCATCAGCAGTGCGCATCCACGAAACTCTCTTGAAACGAGCATCAATCTGTAGGTGGCTCATGGGTTGCAGATTTGCACGATGAGTGAAACTTCCATCTGAGACGTCATCACCCTCTGAGTTCCGTGATCTGAGCACTGCCGATGATCCCCAACAAGGATAACCCAACGGTACAGTGTTTCTGAGCGTTTCAGCACAGACTGGCTCCACTGATAGGACAAAATCTCCATTGAAAACTGCCAATATCCTCACACTAGGATGACGATTTTGTCATCTCTTTTAGATGAATAATTGTAGTTACTATTGGAAAACTTCAAACTCGTCCTATCTGTCACGAAAACTGCTTGAGATCAACAGTTCTGAAACATAACTTGGCACTTAAGAAGTACCAATATAGCTCGCGAGCAGGTTGACAAAAGTGTTACGGAGAATGAAACAAACGGTGACTGGGTGAACCTCTCTCCACGTCAACAGCTAACTCCAAGTCCGATGGAATATCCGCAGGAACGATGTTGAAGTTCAGTGAATTTTATAGATGCAGCTCAGTAAAGGACATCAACCCTAGTCGACGTTATGTTAGAGTCTCTAAACTTAATGGATTACTACCGGAGGGCGTTGTTGACTAAATGATTGAAATATACTGAAATTCGCTATGAAGACAGCTTGTTGGATCTTTCTGCCGGATCACTTTTGCAAGAAATTGATACAGAGCCTCGTCAGAGCTTGTGATCGTCCGAAAAGCTTAGGGTCAAATCACTACAAGAAAAAATCGTAAGATATAAAATATGCTTCTGTATCCTGTGCTACATTTTAGCCGGCAGTTTGACGCATCTCGTACGTTGTATGCTGCTTATAAAGTCACTAGAAGCATGCTCTATCACCAGCTGTTTGCTGTTCATGGTGAATGATTGACGAGTAACGCTGAAGGGGGGGAATATACGGTGACAGTTGGCAAGCAAGTACCTCCTCATTAGGTAAAAATCGTCAAATTATCCAGTATATCGTTGAATTTGAGCTACTGAGCAGCTCCGAGAAGCCCTGTGGCGAATCAGTGTACCTGAGACCCAAAAGCAACTCTGTCGACGGCAGACAAGTAATTGGTGGGGGAACTTAATAGTTCAGCAGTGTGGTTGGGCCTCACCGATGGGTTTATGCGTGCTCCCTCGCCGAACTTCTCCCTGTAACCCCCGCTGTACTAAATTCACATGCTCCAAAACAGTCTCCGGCCTTTCAAATCTAGGCTGGCGTCTATTTGTACGATTAATCGGTGGTTGGCATCAACTCAAGGTCACTTGGACACAAACACCATCTGTTGGGTCGTGCAAATTTACGAGACTATAATCAAAGACTTTGGGATGTGCTTATGAGTTCATCGTTCCTCAGAAGCAAGAATGACTTTGAAGCTAGGGGCAAGTATATTAAGGAAGCGAGTTGTCGGTTGTGCAACGGGTACTTTCATTGAAGAAGGTGTCCAGCACCAGAAGCTGCGTTGGATGGGACATGGGTTGCGTATGCCTGGCCAACGTTTGCCGAAGAGAGTGCTGTTTTCCATACCCAACTCAGAGTATCGGGAGCAGACAGGTGGCCAACCCTTGACTTGGCAGAGGAGTATGAAGGAGATCACGAAACGCTTGGGTGCTCTCGGTGCCACTCGGCTTCCAGGATGGGGACCGTGTGATCCTCACTGCGCCTGGTTGGAGACGCTGCAAAATATGGCTGCTAATCAATGCAGTGGCGTTCTCATTGTCAGTTTTTATCCAGATCACCTGAATGAGTGTTTGGAGGTGTAGGCACTTCGGAATGATTGCAGTAAGCCAGCACTACGTACCTTTCCGTCCACCCTTATTCTTCTCTTCACAATAAGGCTTCCAAACAAATCATGGTTGTACGGCAGCGAAGCATTGGTGTTGCTGTTGTGCTGTCGATGATGATGATCATGATAGTGAACAACTGAAGCTTATGTTTCCCGAATCCAACGAGCGCATGGATAATCAAGTGATAACCAACCTGAACAATCAATGGAACTCACCATCTGATATTCTGGCCTCCGATTGAAGCATAGGGTAACCTGGCCTTGTGCGGTAAATCCTACGTCTGATCCACATGTCTCAACTGTCGGCTGTAGACATGTTGCATCATGCCGTATTACCAACACCGCAAAGGTCTTTGGTGGTATCATTTGGACTGGAGGAATGATTCGAGTTACCGACCGACTGAAGTGAGAAACGCGGAAATTTGGCAAAGATTCCGGAAGAATGATTGACGTGTGACAGATTTGTACGAACCCGACCTCTGCCTCTCGACTTCTCCTGTCTAGGCTTGAGCGACCTGACAGTATCCCACCCCTCGTGCTTCCGTCGGGTGGCATGGCAGCCAGGTACCGAAAGGGTGTTACAGCTTTACGATTACGAAATTTGTCCACATAAACTCAAGTAAAGACAAGTTACATGTCTGCGCCTGGTTTTCACATCTTTTCACATGAAATTCAGAAGGAGAACGGTTTATTTCAATGTTTTGCGGGAAGCTACCTAAGCCATGCTCTCAGTAGCTTGATACATTCAACAATGATGGTTGAGGATCCTTGTTTCCTGACGAGCAAAACATGGCAGTTTTAATAGAATAAATCTGCGTAAAAGCTTATACAGATATATCATTGTTCCTCTAGATAATATACATTCATGGACGGTCCACTGGAATTTCTGATCCTCAAGAGGCTAAATTTATTTCAGGCAACCTAACAGCCATGAAAAGAAACTTTGAGGAGACCGCCTTGTAGAAAAGTTTCGATTTCCATCGTGACTTGTCATACAGTGGTTGTAGCTGCCACAGTTTCTTTCACCGACGATTCGGAGAGGTGGGGTACTTAGGTGCGCATTGAAGGCGGGAGCCGATATGTTGGTGTGTAAATACAGCACTATCAGTGGACTGTCAATTGGGGGATTAGGAAGGGAGCTAAGCATGGAAGGTAATGGCTTGGATGGAAGAGCGTTTTTAAGGGCGCCACTGGACCAGGTCTGACAATGTCCCCAACGATTGATATGGTCCGTCTCGGGGTCCCCATCCAGGAAGACGGTAATGACCAGCGCAGGTGAGTCTGGTGCTACTGAATGCTGCCGGTTCCACTCTCTGGGGACCCCCATCGCAACTACACATCAGTCAACAGACCAGCCTTCCGAATACGCAAAGATACCTAATGACCAGCGCAGCTGAGTTTGCTGGATATTCTGGTCCTACTGGATGCTGCCGGTTCCACTCTCTGCGGACCCCATCGCAATTACATATCAGTCAACAGACAAGCCTCCCTAATACGCAAAAGTGACCTGGGGAAGTCAGTTAACAGCACGAAAGAACAAAGGCAATGCAGAGTAATATTTTGGTTCGACTCTCTTCCAGGAGAGCTTGATATCGGCCGGCTGAAAAGTTGCCTTCAATTTTAGGTTCGTGTGACTGGTTAAAGGAAATGGCGACGACAAAACAGTTCGTTCTGGAAAAAAACAAGTTTAGTGAGTAGTATAAATCTATCACCGTTTAGCCATCAATTAGCATCATATCAGTGCAGCTAACATGTGATGATGGTAAAAGTGTAGGTGCATTGGCACTCTATTACGGCCAACAAATGTCACATTGTGATTGACAAACAGACAGCAAACGAACAAGTCGATTCAACATTCCATGTGTGTTAGGGCTTAAGTATTGATTTAAAAAACTCACGAGACATTAGAGTTCTGATAACTTGGCCTCCTCCTGTATAGAACTCAGGACTTCCATATGGGCTTGAGTAACCTGTCAGTATTTTAGCTCTCTAGTTTCCCTCAGTTGGTATGCCAGCTACTCATCAACAGGGTGTTTCAACTGGACAATTATCATTACTATTATCAGGGTTAGTAGTATAGTAAGTCCGACATGATCAACAGCAAAATGTAGGCTAAAACAATACATCATTACTTGAGGACAGACCCATTCAGTCCCTGATCAGCCTTCTCAGGATCCAACGCAGTACTTGTTTGTTCCAACAACAGCGGTAAGTCGCTATTATTCCTGAGCGAAATTGTGTCGAAGATCACTCCCCAGGAATCCACTCGGGGCAGTTTTATTCGACCCTTATCGAGCGTGAAATTCGGCAAAAATGGTTCTTCGTTTTTCTGGAACGTGTTTCCTGAAAGTTATCAAGGTAAATCAAAAGGTTTATGATAAAATTCAACAAGAAATAGAACAGAATGTTTACCATTAATTCAATCTCACGTTTACAGTCGTTGTTAGTCTACTGTCTACAAATGGGTCTCGGGCATTTTAAATGAAAACTAAGCTAAAGCTCTACGTATCTGTGGGAAGAAAGATCTAGTTGTGTATTCAACAGCGCCACTCGAGAAAGAAGATAATCCGTTTTTGTAATGCATTACTCACAAGGTTGCTGAAAATTCGTCGACGGTTTCTCGCTTCTTGGGGCTCATCAGGTAGGCGCAGTCCCCGAGTTCTACTTGAGGAGGAATCATTTTGACATCATTCGGTCAGAGGTTTGCAATCAACATCCTACTGCCACGATTATCTCATCTTGCGGGGTTCTTGTAAAACGAAGTGTATTTGCTATCGGCTGTTCACATAAGGGGTAATTGTTGAATCATTCCGTTCAGTCCCCGTTTATAGCTTGGGTAGAAAACAGCTGTTTTTTTCTCGAGAGTTACACTCATTTGCAAATCAATGTGGTTTTCACGGGAGACTTAACTGAATCTCTCGTTTATGATATTCCACAACTGAATGTGCTGCACACAGGCCGCCTCATGATTCAGTTGGCACGATATTTTCATAAGGGAAACTACTCACAAGGTTGCTGAAAACTGTTCGATAGCCCACGACCGGCTTCGCTCTTCTTAGGGCTCATCAGGTGTACGCAGTCCCTGAAGTTCCGTCAACCCTATCTTCTACTTGAAACCAATCCGTTTTCATCAAATCACATCAGGATCTTTGCTTATTGGTCAGCAATCTCTCAGTGGTTTGAGGGTATGAAGTGAGTCACAGTAAAATGTGACTAAATTCTTTACCGTCTGAGTATACTTGGAAGTTTCCGAATTCATTAGTAACAACAACGTTGGAAAATTACTCATTTTGTTGCAATTTATCGTCCATACTTCTAAGGGAATCCATCACGTAAGCAACTCACCAAAACAGTGAACTATGACGCAGATCGGTGGCACTACACAGTCCGAATCGGTCAGGCTGCAATCTCTAAAAGCACGGAATGAGGCGAATCCTTCGAACTCGTGGAAGAAGAACTGGCCCAGTCGGGTCTAGAAGAAAGAAATGGATCAATTGATGAATACCTCATTGGAAACGCACTTAGATAGGTCAGATGAGAGAAGACATCCACTTTGTTTCTGCATGCGCGAAAAAATCCAGGACTCTTGTAAGAAACTGAGTAGAAAAAATGCAGATCTTAAAGACTCGTTTATCCAGGCTATTTTTGATTTGGAATTGAGGAATCTTTCACCTCCGGTATTTTGAAGCCAGTCTTGGTTACCTCAAAATAACCGTGTTTCTTTCTCAAGTAAAAAGAACCAAAGCCGACAGACTAAAGAAGACCAACTCAGAACGACCTGTCAGACAAAGAACTTGGTTACGATTTATGAGGCCGAGGTATTTGGTCACCGCACTTCGCTAGAACAGGCTAGCGTACAAGCTTGACCCGTGACAGTCCGAGAAAAATTTTTTTCGTAACAAGAAGAGAAAAGAATGGCAAGCGAGTCAGCCGTTTCTCGGAAAAGTGGTCGCCGCGGGCTTTCAGATTATCTCATTTCTGGAATTACTCTACTGAGTTTAGTCAAATTTCGCTAACTTCAGCTCACACCCGGGGAACTGGAGTTACAGGAGACCGCTTTTCTCTACAACCGTGTAAGAAATTCCTCAACCCTCAGAAAGCTGAAGCATATTTTGATGCCCAAAATAATCCTCTGGAGAAAGTTTCCACAAAAAAGACACTCAGAAAAAGAGCACTTGAAGCTAACTAAAATTCAAAGCAATGATACAGCAAACTGAATTGGGGTCGACGAATACTCTATTGAGTAGCTTTCAAGAGGAAAATTGATTCTTGGATGACTTTTGTGGATGTCTTTAGTGTACTTTATCTCATTCTAAGTGTCCACTATAAATGTTTATTTGCAAAACTCGATAGCTGCATATAGTTGCTCGCTGGAATCTACTCATCACCAGAAAATATGAATACATGGTCTAGTCACTGTACGACAGTTGATTATCAGCAAGCAAGATGGGGACTGTCAGGACGAACCCAGACATGGAAAAAGAACATGTGCTGAGAGCGACGCATCCTCAAGGTCACCATCGGTACGACACTTTCGGAAAGCAGGTGCGTTGGCGGAGCTGACCAAACATGGCTTCGCAACATAAGACCAGTGGATTGGGATGAAATGGCTCAAGATTGGAACACCGCCATTGACTGTACCGAACGAACAAGCAAACGACCATATTTGGCCATTTGGTCACCCTATATATTTACGCAGGGGCTCTGTATGTTTTGTCCTGACAATACAGCCGTGACCCCAGTTCTCTGTCTTCTCCCTATCGCGTAGTCTGGCAGGCTCAGTGCAGGCGTAACCAATAGACGGGCGCCCATGATACAACAGTGAGATGCATTCGTTTGACTGGCCTCTGATATGGCGTACAGTTTTAAACAAAATAAAGTGCAGTATTCCACATTTGGAGGGTCACCCTACAGAATATTTATTACAGATATATACATATCTGTAATAAAATGACCCATCTTTGCATGGACTCATTTAATCCATAGCAAAGTTACATTTCTGACGAAGTTGCACGGAAGTGCCGCACAAATTTAGTGTAGCTGTGAAACAGAGTTTAAGCCAACGGGATCCCAGCATTTTCCTATTATTCTTTTGGGGTCCATCTGGTCTGCTTTGAGATCATAGATTTCTTGACTGTCCTCCTGGGTTCCGAGGACTCTTGCTTTGTCCGTTCTTCTTTACTTGCTTTTCAAATGAGTGACGGCGCACAGTGGACATTTTGTTGTCCACCGGCGAATAACAGTTTGCTACCAGAAATCGAAGAGCACTGAGCACTGCTTGTCCACTCAGGTCGCCAGCGGTAGGGTAGAAAGCGTTTTTTATTCTAGCTGAAGACAAAATGACATCAAATTCAATGTTTTCAGTCACAGCTTTATCTCGAGTTGCCTTTTCATCCCCTGGTGACTGATTCACTTGGAAATGTAGTCCGGAATTTGCAAGAACCCTGGTTAAAAAATTAAAAATCCTAGGAAACCGGTGCGAAAAACTGATAGGATCACTCCACAGTACCACCGACCGATAAAAGATCTTGACAACGCTCGTTGGCTTTCTCGATTCAGAATCCTTCTACGTCATTCTTCTTTATTTTAGAGGTGTGTGGTTTGGATAACTCCTTACCTGACATCTCATTTTTTCCACAGTGAGCATTAACTCTGATTTTCTGGTCCCATATACTTAATTCCTTCTCTAATCACTGTTGTGCTACGGACTCCGCGACCAAATCTTCCGTTGGGTGGAGACCAGAGCCAAATTTTCACAAAACCAAAACCTTTCGGAGATGGAACGAACTCAACCACTAACTTGCTGTATTCCTGTGTCCTTGCTCCTATTAATTCAGGAAACCAGCTGCGATATTAAGTATTCCACATAAAAACCACCAAGCCAAATGCGCTCCCCGTTGACGAGCGGCATGTGCACCTACCTTCCTGATCATGTGTTGCCTGTAAATCGGACTATCATACACATTCCCGTAACTGGATGTTGAAATCACAACTATGGTCGTAATGTAATTCGGTTTTATACGCGTAAGGTTGCTGAAAATATTTCGGTGGCCCACGACTGGTTTTTTCCTGCGGCAAGTATTCCACATAAAAACCACCAAGCCAAATGCGCTCCCTGTTGACGAGCGGCATGTGCACCTACCTTCCTGATCATGCGTTGCCTGTAAATGGAACTATCATACACATTCCCGTGACTGGATGTTGAAATCACAACTATGGTCGTAATGTAATTCGGTTTTATACACTGAAAATATTTCGGTGGTCCACGACTGGTTTTTTCACTTCCTGCGGCTCATCGGGTAGGCGCAGTCCCAGAGTGTCCGTCAACTTTATGCTCTACTTAAAACCAAGTTTCACAAACTTAGCAAAGTACATTCATTTGCAAACCAATTTGGTTTCGCGGGAGACTCACCAGGGACCCAGCTGAAACTCTCGTTTAGAAAACATCATAAACAAGAGATTCAGCTGGGTTTCAGGTGACTTTCTCGCAAAACCAAATATATTTGCAAATGAATGTATTTCGCTAATTCGGTTTTACTTCCAAAAGCCATCGTCATGTGGCGTGAAAAGTGCATCGGATCGGTAAGTAATGCATAGATCCCTTCCCAATCCCTCCACTTAACAGTTCACCTACAGTGCTGTATTTACGCACCAATTTATCAGCTCCCGCCACCCCACCTCCTTGAAGCATCGATGTACGAAACCGTGGCGGCTACAACCACTGTACGACAAATACGAGGTTCTTACAGGTGACGATGACGATGAAGATGATGATGATGATGATGATGATGATGATGATGACGATGATGATGATGATGATGAGGAGGAGGAGGAGGATGATCATGATGATGATGACGATGATGATGATGATGACGATGATGATGATGATGATGAGGAGGAGGAGGAGGATGATCATGATGATGGTGATGATTTTGATGATGATGACGATGATGATGATGATGACGATGATGATGATGATGATGATGATGATGGTGGTGGTGGTGAGGATGATCATGATGATGGTGATGATTTTGATGATGATGATGATGATGA